TATTTTTTTATTTTTGTTTTGGTTGGTCGGTTGTGGGGCTTGGACTTGGGGCCTGGGTTCTGTCCCTGAGCTCTTTTGCTCAAAGCTGGTGCTCTACTATTTTGAGCCACCATGCCACTTGCTTTTTTTTTTTTTGCCAGTCCCAGGACTTGAACTCAGGGCCTAGACACTGTCCCTGAGCTTCTTTTGCTCAGGACTAGCAGTCTACTGTTTGAGCTACAGCACTACTTCGGTTTTTTTCTGTTTATGTGGTACTGAGGAATTGAACCCAGAGTTTCATGCATGCTAGGCAAACACTACTACCAAACCACATTTCCAGCCATCTTTTTTTTTTTTTTTTTTTTTTTTTAAGAGGGTCTTGATACATAACCCATACTGATCTGGAATACTTGATCTTTTTGCCACACCTATTATGTATAAAGAAACTATTAGGAACAGTGGGATATAAATATGAGATACAACCTTGTGATAGTGTCTTTGAAGATATCTAGTAAATGCTTGAATCATTAAATCATTGAATTCAGGGAAACTGCTAAATAGCACATAGTCTGGTACTGGTGATCCAGCTCAGTGGTAATGTGCTTGCCTAGTGTTCGGCCCTAGGCTTGATATTCCCAGCATTAGAGGTAGTCAGGGAGAAAGGGAACCTACACAGTCGGCCCCATAGAGCCTATTTTATTTATTTATTTTTTATGCTGTTACTGAGTCTTGAACTTCAGAGCTTTGCATTCTAATCTGGCCTTTTCTGCTCTTGGAACCATGCTTCCAGTCCTCATCAGTACTTCTTGTTAGGAGTAAGTGAATTATGTGAAATATTTTAAACAGTGCCTTGTAAGTAGTAATCATAAAATTAGGTTTTATTAACTGTGGCTTCTGTTGTTTTTTTTTTTTTTTGTGAAGTAATGTGGTAAGTGAAAAGGGGTAGGATCTGGGTGCAGGTGGCTCATACCTGTAATCCTTAGGAGGTTGAGCTATGAGGATCAAGGTTCAAAGCTAGCCTAGGCAGAAAAGCCCATGAGACTCTTTATCTCTAATAAACTACCAAAGAGGTAGTTTATTACTGAGTTGTGACTCAAGTGATAGAGCACCAGCCTTAAGCACAAAAAGCTCAGGGACTGTCTAGGCTTTGTTCAAGCCCCACGACTAGCACAAAAAAAGGTGGTGTGTGTATGTGAGCCTGATACGTTTTTAGGAATGATGAGACACAGATACTTATCTTGGAAGATGGTGACAGGTGGATTGCCCGTGGGATTGGTAATTGTGATTTGTGGTGTCTCCATCTTTGGTGCTTTGAAATTTTCACCAACTTGTTCAGTGATTGGATTAAGGCAAATGAGACTAATGGATATCAGCAGGCTAAGGTATTTACATAGGATTTGATAATAGTGATCAGGTATGGACTCTAATCTTGAATAAGAAGTGAAGTCTGAGGTTCTGATGTAGACAAGATTGGATCTATGAGGAGACTGGAGAGAAGGCTGAATGTGATGACAGCTTTTGCATCATATTATATACTTATTACAGTTATTGTTTAACTTTCCCTAATAAAAGGTCAAAGCTCTGAGGGCCACATTCCCAGCCTTAATGAATTGTTTTATATATTGGTGAGAGTGTGAGTAGTGAGAGATCTGAGAGTTGACCATTAGATTTAATAATGTGGAGGTTATTGGTGATTTTGAATAGTTAATAGAAACAAAGATCATTTAATGAAATTTAGATTAATGACTGGATAGATGTTTTAGATATTCTTTTAGGCAGTATTCCATTGCTTTTAGTATGTTTGAAAACATCAAAACATCAGTTGGTTTAAATAGTGTGTTTTCCATTCTGTGATAATTAGTTTAAAAAGGGAGAAGATTTTTTTTTTCTTTTGGTCCACTGTAGTTGCTTGGTCTCATTGCTTTGGGTTGGTGATGTGTCAGAACACCTGGCAGGGAGCACAAGGTGGAGCAAAATCGCTGTCTTCATAGTGGTTAGGGACAAGAGAAACAGAAGAGATCAGGGACAAAACATACCTTTAGTCACCTACATCAACAAGGCTTGTTGCCTCCCAGTAGCCCATTAAGATGTGAATACATGAGTGTTTTAATTCATTCACAAGGTAAGAGTCCTCATAATTCACATACCTTCTATTTTTTTTTTTTTTCCAGACCTGGGGCTTGAACTCAGGGCCTGGGCTCTGTCCCTGAGCCTTTCTATGTTCAAGGGTAGTGCTCTACTACTTGAGCCACAGTGCCACTTGTGGCATTTTCTATATATGTATGTTGAGGAATTGAACCCAGGACTTCATGCATGGCAGGCAAGCACTGTACTACTAAGCCACATTCCCAGTCCCCTACACACTTTCTAAAGGATCCTGTTTACATCAGTGCCTCATTGTGCTGTTAAGCCTTCAACACATTACTTTGTGGGGAAGGGGGTTAAGATCCACACCATAACAAATAGGTATCTAAAAAAATCGATTATATGGTGCTATTCTCTATGCTTGTTCTGTGATTCAGGAAAAAATGGTAAAAAAAAAATAGTCAATATTTCTTGCAGAAATAATCACTGGGAGTATATATGCTCTGATAGTTTTTTAGAGAGCTCTTTTAGTTTGCATCCTATCAATATTGTAGAATAGCCTAGCATGACTTTATCCTGAGATTTGGTCCATTAGATGGAGAAACTTCCAGCTTCACGTTAAAAGCTAGGCTTGGTACTGTACTCTTGTAACCCCCACTTGGAAGACAGAGGTCCTGCGTTTCAGGCCAGCCTTGGCTACATTTTAAGACCCTGCTGTTACCTTTTTCTTTTTAGTTCCACCTTATTTATTGTGGTAACTAGAGCCTGAACATATTAAACATAGCTAGGTGTGTGGGACAAGGACTCATACATCCCTTTGCTTTATACTATTTTTTCATTTATTCATTTGCTCATTTTTTGAGACTGAATCTTGCAGTGTAATCTGAGCTGATCTCAAACTCCTGATCTTCTCTCAGCCTTCTTTTTTTTTTTTTTTTTTTATTTGTTGGTCGTGGGGCATGAACTCTAGGCCTGGATGCTGTGTCCCTCAGCTCTTCAGCTCAAGACTAGCACTCTACCACTTGAGCCACAGCACCACTTCTGGCTTTTTCTGCTTATGTGGTGCTGAGGAATTGAACCCAGGGCCTCATGAATGCAATGCAAGCACTCTACCACTGAGCCACCTTCCCAGCCCTCTTCTCTCAGCCTTCTGAGTGTAGGGAATATTAATAGAATTTAATTCACTTCAACAATTATTCTTTTCTCTTCCATCCTTCCCCTTTCTTTCCTTCCCCCTTCCTTCCTTCCTTCCTTCCTTCCTTCCTTCCTTCCTTCCTTCCTTCCTTCCTTCCTTCCTTCTCCTTCCTTCCTTCCTTCCTTTCTTTTTTTCTTTTTCTTTTTTTTTTGGTCCAGTCGTGGGGCCTGAACTCTGGGCCTGGGCGCTGTCCCTCAGCTCTTCAGCTCAAGGCTAGCGCTCTACCACTTGAGCCACGGCGCCACTTTGGCTTTTTTTTCTGCTTATGTGGTGCTGAGGAATCGAACCCAGGGCCTCATGCATGCAAGGCAAGCACAAGCGCTCTACCACTGAGCCACCTTCCCAGCCCTTCCTTTCTTTTTTTTTCTTTCATTTTTTAATTTTTTTAATATGAAAATACTGTACAGAGGAGTTAACAATTACATGGGCAAGATAATGAGTACATTTCTTATCAAGCATTGTAGCCTCCTCCTTTGTTTCCCCATCCCATCCCTTCCCATCCTCCCCCCTGCCCCCCCACCCAATCCTCCCCGCCTCCCCCTCTTCCTTCCTTCCTTCCTTCCTTCTTTCTTTCTTTCTTTTTTCTTATAGTACTGGGATTTGAACTTGGGGTCATTTACTTGCTAGGTATTGATCATGATTCCATTTGATTTTTGCTCTGGTAATACTTGAGAAAGGGTCTTTTTTTCCCAAGCTGGCCTGGACCTTAATCCTTATATTTATGCTGCCTATTGTAGCTGGGATGACAGTTGTGTGCCACCACACCCAGGTTTTTCTGTTGAGATAAAGTCTCATGAACTTTTTTTGCCCAGGCTGACCTAGAACCATGAGCCTTCCAATCAAGCCTCACATGTAACTGAGATGACAGCCATTTATCACTATACTCAGCTATTGGTTGAGATGGGGGAGGGGTGTCTCTTGAACATTTTGCTCATGTTGGCCTCAAACCTCAATGCTCCTGATCTCTGTTTCCCAAGAAACTAGGGTTATAGGTACAAGCCATCAGCAATTTGTAAAACCAAGATCCTTTTAATGCAAAGGTTTGTAGTTTATATTATTTAAGGACGTTCCACTCACTGGCAGTTTTCTTTCCTGTTATTATTGTCAGTTTCTACAATTTATTTTGTTTCTAAAAGTTTCAAGGAATATATATATATATATATATGTATGTATATGTATATATATATATTTCCATTTCCCGCAGTTTGTTTCAATGAACATCATTTTATATCATCATATGCCCATAGCTATTGAGCCTTTGTGATCCTCTTCTATTACAGCAAATGAGGGAAACCATGCAAGCTGTGTTTCCTTGGGTGTTAACCAGCAATTTCAAGGGAGTATATTTTAAAGAATTGTTTAGATGGAGAGTACTTTATGAACAGGTGCTTTCATAGAATGTTTTACCCTTGAGATATTTTCAGAAGTTGGTTTTGACATAGCTATAAGATTTTAACCTGAAACCATTTTTTTCTTTTTTTTTTTTCTTTCTCTTTTGCCAGTCCTGGGCTTGAACTCAGGGCCTGGGCACTGTCCCTGAGCTTCTTTTTGCTCAAGGCTAGCAGTCTACCACTTGAGTCACACAGTGCTACTTCCAGCTTTTTTTGTTTATGTGGTACTGAGGAATCGAACCCAGGTCTTCATGCATGCTAGGCAAGCACTCTACCACAAAGCTACATTCCCAGCCCTGAAACCATTCCTTTACATAGTGAAAATTGTTACTCATCTCAATTTTGTTTAGGAAGATTCTTGCCTCTGAAGACAATGCTGGGACCAAGATATGATAGTCAGGTTGCTGAGGAAAATCGCTTCCATCCCAGTATGCTCTCAAACTATCTGAAGAGTCTAAAGGTAAGAAGTAAAACTTTGCTTGTAATTTGTGTTCTACCACTTGAGACTACTCCCCACTTCCTTGATAGGGCTGTGACTTGAACCCTTATATATGCCAAGTAAGTGTTCTGCCACTGAGCTAAAACCCTGGCCTTGCTTTTTTTCAGTCAGTTGTGAGGCTTGCATTCAGGGCGTGAAAGCTGTTCATGAGGTTTTTTTTCCATTCAAGGCTAACACTCTACCACTTTGAGTGACAACTCTACTTCTGGTTTTCTGGTGGTTAATTAGAGATAAAAGTCTGATGGATTTTCCTGCCTGGGCTGGCTCTGAAGTGTGATCCTCAGATCTCAGCCTCCTGAGTAGCTAGGATTATTGGTATGAGCCACCTGTGCCCTGCTGTAGTCCTTGCTTTTCTGAGGTAGGGTTTTGCTGTGTAGCCCAAACTAGTCTTGAACTCATGATCTTTTCTGCCTCTGTTCTCTTGAATGCTGGGATTAGAGGCATGCACCTACCTGTCTTAGTTAAAGGTTTTTATGTGAGCATAATATTTCTTCTTTTGGGATAAATTCTCACAAGCATGATTGCTGGGTTATACAGAAAGTACTTGTTTAGGTTTATAAACAACTACCAAACTATTTTCCAGCATGGTATACCATTTTGCATGTCCATTAGGTAGTTTTTATGCTGGCTTCTCAACTTTCTTGCCATAGCTTTTGACTACTGAGATTATAGTTCTGTGCCACTGCTCCCAGCCATTGGGTGGCTTTGTAAGAGTCAATGAACCTTTGTACATTTTTACATTATTCTGTCAGAATTACAATTTGTATTACTTTTCTAGGGCTTCTTTGAAAAATTATACACACTAAGTGGCTTGAAGCAATAGGTATTTGCTCCTTACAAATTGCTATAAATTTAAAATCAAAGTGTTGGCAAATTTCCTTCCTTCTGGAGGCTTGGAGGGAGAATTTTTCAAAGCCTTCTCCTAGCTTATAATAGTTGCCTGTGATCTCTGGTGCTCCTTGGATTGCAGTGCCATTATTTGAGGCAAGTGTTCTCCTATTGAGCTATATCCCTAGACTTTAAAGCTCCATCATTCTAGGCTCTGCCTCCTTGGTCGTCTTGTCAAAATTTCTGTGTGTGTGTGTGTGTCTGTGTCTGTGTGTCTGTGTGACAATTATTTTTTATTTTTATTTTTTTTTGGGTCCGGTTGTGGGGCCTGAAGTCTGGGCCTGGGCGCTGTCCCTCAGCTCTTCAGCTCAAGGCTAGCGCTCTACCACTTGAGCCACAGTGCCACTTCCGGCTTTTTTTTCTTTTTTTTTGCTTATGTGGTGCTGAGGAATCGAACCCAGGGCCTCGGGCATGCAAGGCAAGTGCTTTACCACTGAGCCACCTTCCCAGCCCTGTGTGACAATTATTTATTTTTGGGCATTTTCAGGGTTTTAGAACTCATTTTCTTGATTTTGCCAGGCAGGCATTCTTTTACTTGAGCCATACTCTTAGACTTCCAGTTTCCTTCTTATAAGGATTTGATTAGAACCCAACCTAATCTAAGTTATTTCTGAAAAGAACCCTTATTCTATTTTCAAATAAGGTCACATTTACAGGTACTTGGAGTTAGGATTTGAACACACATCGTTTTGAGACAGCATTTGCTGTGTAACCCAGGTTGTTTTGGAACTCCTGATCTTCCTGCCTTAGCCTCCCAGGTACTAGAATAATAGGTGTGCCATCATGCCGACCAAACCCATCTTTTCTTTTTATTGTTGGTTGAGGGGCTTGAACTCAGGGCCTGGGTTCTGTCCCTTAGTTTTTGTGCTCAGGGCTAGTAAGTGCTCTACGACTTTGAGCCACAGCTCCACTTACGGTTTTCTGGTGGTTGATTGGAAATAATTTTCATAGATTTTCCTGTCCAGGCTGGTTTTGAACTGTGATCCTCAGATCTCAGCCACTTGAGTAATTAGGATTACAGGCATGAGCCACCAGTGCCCAGCCAAACACATCTTTTTATAAGAAATAGTTAAGCCACAACATCAAGATTCATTGGTATTTTATGCAGTTGGCAGCCTTACAGCTGTATATTTATTGTATTTAGTACAGTGAATATTAGAGTCTACTATGTGCAACGTTCCTGTAGGTGGGTAAAGAGCTACTTAGATTTTTGAGAACCAGTTATTCATTATTTGTATTGAGGTATATATATATATATTTTTGGCCAGTCCTGGTGCTTGAACTCAGGGCCTGGGCACTGTCCCTGATTTTCTTTTTGCTCAAGGCTAGCACTTTACCACTTGAGTCGCAGTGCTACTTCCAGCTTTTTTTGTTTATATACTGCGGAATCAAACCCAGGGCTATATATATGATAGTCAAACATTCTACCACTAATGCAAGATTCCCAGTCTTGTTTATATTTTTTAGTTGTTTCTAATTTATGAACTTATCTGTAATCACATTGAAAGATTAGCTATATTTCCTAGAGAGTGTGCAAAAGTTTGTTTGGACTTAGAAGCTAGGTACTTGGGTTTCAATTCCAGTGCACAGGATTAATGCTACATGTAAAATATATAGAACAGTTACTGTCACAGAGTAAGGGCTTTAACAAATTGTAGTTCTTACTATGTGCAGAAGATAGTTACTTTCCTTATGTATGAGTTGGGATTATCTATTATGAAAAATACATACATATATATATATATGGTGCATATGTGTGTACAGATTCACAGTCACATGAATATATTATCTACATAAATTACCACATGCACATAGATACATGCAGATATATGGGGCATGTGGAAGCTAAGTTACACTATATAGTTTCAGTTTCCTTGCCACAAATCCTATGTTAGTCAGGCATCAGTGGCTCATGCCTGTAATCCTAGCTATTCAGGAGGTTGAGATCTGAGGATCATGGTTCAAAGCTAGGCCCGGCAGGAAAGTCTGCAATAAAACCACCAGAAAACCAGAAGTGGCACTGTGGCTCAAGTGGTAGAGCACTCACATTGAGCTAAAGAGTTGAGGAACAGCACCTAGGCCCAGAGTTCAAGTTCCACGACTACCACCAAACAAAACTCCCAGGTTAGAAACTCCTATTTTCCTGCTTTTCACTACTTTTTATTACTTTTCTTTTTTTTTTTTTGCTTCTTGTTTTGAGCCTAGAAACCAAAACTTGAACTTTAATACTAGCCTATTGTATTAGGTTTTTTTTCTTCTCATTCTAATGACTCTTCCCTCTTCCTCCCTCCTCCCCCCCTTCCTCCTCCTCCTCCTCCTCCTCCTTTGGTATCAATTTATCTAGATCCTTGTTTTTAGCAAAATAAAATCTTCAAAGAAGTGAATAGAGCAAATGCCACCTGGGATGATGTGTACCAGTGGTGCCAACCACTTGGGATAACTTGTATATAGGATGTTTGGTCCAATCTTGAACAACATGATCCTGTTAAAGAAAAAAGAAACTGATAGAGCTCATTCTAAGAACTGGAAATAGACACTTTAGGATTATGCTTTTTTTTTTTTTGGCTGGTATTGGTGTTTGAACTCAGATCCTCACACTTGCTTGGGCAGTCATTCTATTGCTGAGTCATGCCATCAGTTCCATTTCTTACTAGTTACTTTTGGGATAGGGTCTTGATTCCTAATGGATGTGTATCTGAACTATTACTGTCTGCCTATTTGAACCTTTCTGCTGTTGCTAATAGGCATGGGCCATTGTATTCAGCTTCCTTCTTTTGAGATGGAGTCTGAGAGATCTCTTCCTGGACTAGCCTGGTACTGTGACCCTCCCATTGTTGCCTTCCTTATAGCTTTTGATGACAACCAAGTACCACTATGCCCAGCTGTGTATTGAGAAAGAGTAGTCATGATCGTTTTCCTCCTGAGCTGGCCTTGATCCCTGATCCTTCTGCTCTTAGCCTCACAGGTAGCTTCACAGGGTTGCAGATATGTGAGCCAAATTGCTCGGCTGAATTTTTGTTGTGTGTCTAATTTAAATGTTTTTGCCATTTCCTCCCTGTAAACAATGGAGTTTAATCATTGTGTAGATCAGTCTTCTTTAGAGAAGTCAATATTCTGTCAAAGCAACAACAAAAAAACAATGATTTGATTTAAGCGGTGTAGGTTAATCCTTTTGTCATTCTTTCCAGAGAATATGTGTCTGAGAATGTTGTTAGGGGTATATGAATTAGCTTTTCATTATTTGGACTTAGTCCAGCTGTGCATTTTTTTTTTTTT